CTGTTTCTTCTCTGGGCTAGCTGGGCTGGGGCTGGGTGCAAGCTGGCTGGAAGCTAAAGACTCTGTCGGGCTTGCTCTCACCTGAAGCTGTGTTGTCGGGCTGGCCACACCTTTGGTTTTCTTGTTGTTTGGTGATTGTCTTTTCTTGGCTGCTTCCTGCTGGGCTTGCCTTATAAGTAAGAAACATCGAGAAATCCAAAGAAGGTATCCAAAATCAAAAAAACATCGTGTCCAAAACCGAAAGAACCCTCGAGAAATCAATCTGGCCAACAGACTGTTTACATGATGCCAGCACATTGTCCCACAATCATTGGTTTTTGGTTTTTTTCGATTTCTCGAGGTTTCTTTCGGCTTTGGACAAACTATTTCGATTTCTCGATGTTTTTTCGGTTTTGGACAAGAGCCTGACATCTGAAGGAGGGTAGGGTAAGGTGGAGAACTGTTTGCGTGATACCAGCACATTGTCCCAGAAACTTTTGTTTGTTTTCGATTTCTCAAGTTTTTTCGGTTTTGGCCAGAGTGCAGCAAAATTAGGTGTGCAAAAACCAAACGCTCGCAGGGCCCCTTTCTGTTTTTCAATACTCCGATCCATCGAATTCGCTCTGACTCTTCCAAATTGGCCTTTGGCAAAGATCCATATTTTGCACCCCGCCTCATCTGCAACCTCGAGGCATCCATGCCTGCCAGCCAACTCAATCCCATGTCTGCGGGGCGCCCATGTTGCTCCAAGCGGGGTTCGCGCGCCCTCTGCACACGCATGCGTACCCGCTTCTCATAAACTCTCATACGCTCTTTGCGCCACTGCAAAAGAACCCGTACTGCCTCCGCAAGCCTGGCCCCTTCCAGGCCCAGATCCCAGGTGCAAAGGAGATCCCTCGCACCAGCCTCGTCCTCGAAAAGGCATATCCAGGTCACTGGATCTTCACCAGACTTACGTGCCAGCTTTGCCAGTCTTGGCAACACGTGTTGCAAAGCCTCCATCCATACGCGAAGTGGCGCAGCGCCCCACACTACCAAACAATACTTAGAGCCAGAGCTTGAGCCAAAATGGCTACGGATGATGCACCACGACCGGACGCGGATTGTGCCAACTGGTCCTGGGTTTGGCTCCCGCCCTGTTTCCTTGCTAGCTGGATCGGAACCCGTGGTCTATCTTTCATTTCGACATGGATACGGATGAAGCAACCCAAGCGTTGGCCCAGACTGACATTCAGCAGCCGTGGCTGGAGTATTCAGTATGGCAGGAACGTGAGTGGGTGCGGATCTACATTCCTGGACAACCTCAACTATGGCACCAGGATGATGATGTACCTGACCTGCCAGAGAACACTTTTCGGGAGTGGAATCGGGTGACCGCCCCAGGTGATGAGACTCAAGAACGCGATGAGCCAGGTCACCATGAGCCTGAACGCCGCCAGGCCTGGACCATTCGAGATTAACAACATCAAGGATACCAACGAGTATTGACCCGCTACGAGTCCTTCTCCACCCACAATGCTCTGGATCAACCACTTGATGGCTTACACAATCCGGACTTCTCCATCCAGGTCGAAGAACTGGGTTCCCAGCATGGTCTTCGACAGCAAAACCGCGGAATAATGGATGCACCTTCCGCCGGTCTTCTATGGCGGCATACTTCCTGCTCAACTTGGAGATCCTTCGTCCCCGTCTTCTGAGCGGCACCGTACAGAGCGTGCAATTTTTTGTTCTCCCCGCCGCTGTGGATATTTTGGTAGACGTTAGGGAGTTGAGCACGTGGTCTTCCGGATGCAAAAGATAATGTACGCCCCTCGTGGAGGGGCGTGTGTGTGCGGAGTGGCAGAAAACCCTGCCACCAACAATTTTTCTTCAGCAGGGGGGTCACCCGCAGTCACGACCGGTGACCCAACGAAGAGGGTCGTGACCTGCGCTGATATCTGGCCTGATCAGCCAGACGTACCTGCCGAGATGGTAGCGTTGTTCTGATTGTCCTTTTGGTCCCCCCCCCCTGAACAGCCGTTGCTTCTGTGTGTCCCTGTTAAAGTAGCTACAGGGAAGCCAAGTGCATTGCGAGCCGAAACTCATCGTACTCGAGACCTATCAGTTGTACTCGAGACTCATCAGTTGTACTCGAGACTCATCAGTTGTACTCGAGACTCATCAGTTGTACTCGAATGATTAGCACCCTCCCTTGGGAGTTGAAGTGTGTGAATGTGTGTTGAAGTGTGTGGTGTGTGTGTGTGTGTGTTTGTGTGCGTGGGTGTGTGTGTGTGTGTGGGGGTGTTGGTGCGGTGTGTGTGTGTGGTGTGTGTGTGGTGTGTGTGTGTGTGTGTGTGGTGTGTGTGTGTGTGTGTGTGTGTGTGTGTGTGTGTGTGTGTGTGTGTGTGTGTGTGTGTGTGTGTGTGTGTGTGTGTGTGTGTGTGTGTGTGTGTGTGTGTGTGTGTGTGTGTGTGTGTGTGTGTGTGTGTGTGTGTGTGTGTTGTGTGTGTGTGTGTGTGTGTGTGTGTGTGGTGTGTGTGTGTGGTGTGTGTGTGTGTGTGTGTGTGTGTGTGTGTGTGTGTGTGTGTGTGTGTGTGTGTGTGTGTGTGTGTGTGTGTGTGTGTGTGTGTGTGTGTGTGTGTGTGTGTGTGTGTGTGTGTGTGTGTGTGTGTGTGTGTGTGTGTGTGTGGGTGTGTGTGTGTGTGTGTGTGTGTGTGTGTGTGTGTGTGTGTGTGTGTGTGTGTGTGTGTGTGTGTGTGTGTGTGTGTGTGTGTGTGTGTGTGTGTGTGTGTGTGTGTGTGTGTGTGTGTGTGTGTGTGTGTGTGTGTGCCATCCCTGTTGCCAAGGGCTGATCTGAGTTCTTTGTCAGACTCGCAAGCTGGCAGTCTTTGCAAATTGTCGAGGTGGTGCCGGCTATCCGGACTCTCCATTTCTTTTCCAAGTATGTGGAGTAGGCCACAGCCATCCTTGGGTCTAGTCTGTGGCCCTGACGAGTAGGGCCCAAGGATGACGAAACTCCACTCAATCAATTAAAGTGCATGTGTGCCCACTGGGCTTGATCCTGACCCTCGCAGAAGAAATGAGACACAACAAGGACCGAGAGAGGGGGGATTTCACAAGTGTGATCCAGGCAGTAGTTCGTTTAACGGGCTGCCTGCGGTAGGATAGCCTACTGTGTTTGATTGAGCCTTGCCATCGGCTCGCGCGCAGCATTGGTCATTCAGTTGACCCTCAGATGTCAGTTTTGACCCTTGAGGTCCCCAGGTTTGTTTGGAACTTGCCTTTGTTCCGCCAAGCTTTGGGAGTCTTCCCACTCAGTTGCCATTTTATGGTTGGTGCTGTGAAGCACAACGGAGACTGCCAGCGATGTCTATCGCCTCAGAAACCAGCATGCCCATTGGGTCTGAGATGCCGTAATCCCCCCGATGTATTTTTTTGCTGCTGTCTAGGCCGTCGTTGCAATTTGCCATTTAGACCTGCAGCAAACCGTCGGTTTTTCTGGCCCGCGGGTGATTCAAATACCCGGCCGGGGCCCCGGCGTTAGTGGAGCATCTCGGATATGTTCGTTATTTTTGTTGTTTTCTTGTTCTTTTTCTTTTTCCTCGCTTTGCGCAGGGTCCCTTTGGCCCTTTTGCGACGGTTCTCTTTGCCGGCCGCGGTGACTGCGGCGCGTCTGGCTCTGTACAGGCCACAGGGTTTGGAGCCTTTTCACGTCTTGTTCATTTTAGTTTGGCCCGCGGGCGTTTTACACACCCGGCTGGGGCCCAGCGGTGGGATTTGGGTTCTGCGCAGGCTGCAATGTCCATGGCGAAAGAAGTGCCGCGTGGCTGATTGTGTGTGTCCATCCCTGTTGCCAAGGGCTGATCTGAGTTCTTTGTCAGACTCGCAAGCTGGGAGTCTTTGCAAATTGTCGAGGTGGTGCCGGCTATCCGGACTCTCCATTTCTTTTCCAAGTATGTGGAGTAGGCCACAGCCATCCTTGGGTCTAGTCTGTGGCCCTGACGAGTAGGGCCCAAGGATGACGAAACTCCACTCAATCAATTAAAGTGCATGTGTGCCCACTGGGCTTGATCCTGACCCTCGCAGAAGAAATGAGACACAACAAGGACCGAGAGAGGGGGGATTTCACAAGTGTGTGTGTGTGTGTGTGTGTGTGTGTGTGTGTGTGTGTGTGTGTGTGTGTGTGTGTGTGTGTGTGTGTGTGTGTGTGTGTGTGTGTGTGTGTGTGTGTGTGTGTGTGTGTGTGTGTGTGTGTGTGTGTGTGTGTGTGTGTGTGTGTGTGTGTGTGTGTGTGTGTGTGTGTGTGTGTGTGTGTGTGTGTGTGTGTGTGTGTGTGTGTGTGTGTGTGTGTGTGTGTGTGTGTGTGTGTGTGTGTGTGTGTGTGTGTGTGTGTGTGTGTGTGTGTGTGTGTGTGTGTGTGTGTGTGTGTGTGTGTGTGTGTGTGTGTGTGTGTGTGTGTGTGTGTGTGTGTGTGTGTGTGTGTGTGTGTGTGTGTGTGTGTGTGTGTGTGTGTGTGTGTGTGTGTGTGTGTGTGTGTGTGTGTTGTGTTGTGTGTGTGTTTGTTTGTTTGTTTGTTTGTTTGTTTGTTTGTTTGCGCGGGCGTGTGAAAGTGCGACCAACTACGCCGGCGCAGCCAGCGAGCTAAGCTAGTCCCTGGCAGTCATTTGAGAGGCGCATGACGGGTTTCATGCAAAACCACACCTCGCACACCTTTTCCCAACGCCCCAACGCCGCCCCACGCCACCACCCCGTCGCAGCGAGGCGCAGCTTGGCGGCCACGGAGTACTGCGTCGACGTTTTCAGCGATGCGGCGGGCTGCACTGCCGCCGCCCGGTACTCCGACACCGTCAGCCGGTCCTCATTCAGCACATGGCCGGAGTGCGAAAACAACGGTCCCACCAGAGTAGTTGCACAAACCACTATGCTAGTTGCTCATGACTGGACATGCCCAGAAGTGAAATAACGCCCAACAACACCAAAAGGCCAACTTGCTTTGGACAAGCTGGCCTCACAAGATGTGCATTTTCAATCACACTTCGGACGTCGAAGTGGGGCGAGATGAAATCACGACAACCTTTCACCGTGAGGGGCAAGCGCAGCAAGCACTGTTCTTCCGGGCCGCCGCCCGGCCACGCCAGTGCTTCATGTCGGTGAGGGCCACGCGCTGCTTGGCCTGCACGAAGTTCCCGGTCTCCGGGCTCAGACGGCCGGGCAGCGCCTGCCAAACGTTGAGGATGGCGCTGGCCTAAGTCAACTGAGTCAACGGAAACACCTCGTGCGAGATGCGCAACAGCACGCCGGATCGGCCGCAATCCGCCCGCGCCTTTTCGTACAGCTTCAAAGTCTTCTTCATGGTGCTGCGGCTGGCCTTGGACTTGCTGATCTCGGGGGCGGCCTCCAGCTCCTCAGTCACGCCCAGGGCCATCGACTTCAGATCTTCCGCGGCCGCCTTCACCGCCAAGTCTGCGGCCTCTGCAAATCAGTTGCAAGACTTGTGCTACAAGCGAAACGAGACCCCAAGCAACCAACACGAACCCCCTTGATGCTCAAGGTTCATACCGCGCCACTGCGAGAGCCAGTCCGAAGTCCCCACCGCGCCGCAGCATGAAAGTCTGTAAAGGATTCCGTTCGATATAAACACTCCAACGTGAGAAAAGAAAGTTTGGGGCCGCCTCGCACGGAACGACGCCACGCAGGCTGCGAACCTTAACCTCACCCTGCCCCACTCTTGCCGCAAGAACCCCCTGTAGACACATACTGCGCAGGGCAAAAGAAATGTGCTGCACAAGTATAGCCATGTCTAAGAACACTTGGCCCTCTCCGGCCTCCTTCTCTTCCGCGCCTGCAGCCTTGCACTTCTGCTGCTGCCCGAAGGGCGCCAAAATGCTCGGGGATGTGCTCTCCTCCACCTCTCGAACGCTTCTGCCCAACTTCCAGCAAAGAAAACACAACCGTTCATTCCGCAAGCCACCGGGGCAGCTTGCGCCCAACCTTCGCTTTGCGCCGGTGCCTCCAAGCCGAAACACGAAAACACAAATTAGGTTTCGGCCGCCTTCTGGCAGAAAGGCGCGGGCCCGCAAACGTCCTTGTCTGGGTCGTAGAAGCACCGGAAGGCGCACTTGCTGCTCTTGCCCATGCAGGAGGCCTCGCCCAACATGGCATCGATCAGGACGCTCAGCTCCCGGTCCGGCTGGCTGAAGGCCTTGGCCCCGCTTCCGTCCATGTGAAGCTCCAGGCGTTGCGTACGCGGCTCGGGGTAAGCGGTCATCTCGTCCGCCTCGATGACCTTCTGGACGCCTTTGCTGTTGAAGAAGTAGAGCTGGCCGTGACCCTGGTAGACCACATGCCCCACCGAGCGGCCAAGCCAATTGGACTTGGTTTCGCCCACTGCGGGGTTGTGGTCAGCCCGGAAGTACAGGGCCTCATCCTTTGCGTACTTGGTGTTGCCCCACTTGCCGCCTTCATAGGCTTGCCACCCGACAATGCTGACAGTGTCCATTCCATGGATCTCCTTGATCACCGCCGCACCGTCTGGCATCAGCCGATACTTTGTGTCCAGACCATCAATCTCTACATACTTTGGTGGCTCATGGGCGGACGTGTTGCCAGCAACATATCTGAAGGTAATTGTTGAATCCGACCATAATAACGATGACCTTGGCCCACAAGCACGCCTCTTTGCGTTTGACCCTGCCAGAAAACAGACAGACAGACAGACAGTCAGACAGACAGACAGACAGGCAGAGAGAGAGAGAAACAAGAGAGAGAGAGAGAGAGAGAGAGAAAGAGAGAGAGAGAGACAGAGAGAGAGGAAGAGAGGAAGAGAGGAAGAGAGGAAGAGAGAAATAGAAAAAGAGACAGATGGACAAACAGACAGACACACAGGGAGGAAGAGAGGAAGAGAGGAAGAGAGGAAGAGAGAAAGAGAGCAAAAAAGACAGAAAGACAGAAAGAGGGACAGAGAGAAGAAAAAAAAGAGAAAGAGAGAAAAAGAGAGAAGGAGAAAGATAGAAGATGGAAAGAGGGGAAGAGACAAAGAAGGAAGAAAAAAGAGAAGCAGAAAAAGAGAGACAGAAAGAAAGAAAGAAAGAAAGAAAGAAAGAAAGAACGAAAGAAAGAAAGAAAGAAAGAAACAGACAAGAGAACAAACACACACACAAAGACAGACAAAGAGACAGAGAGAGAGAGAGAGACAGAAACAAAGAAACAAAAAACAAGGGACAAAGAAACAAAGACTCTCCCGCCTCTTCCCCGCCCCCTCTCTCCCCTGATCCGAGCAACGCCTTCCCTGTGGCCCACTTGGTCCGGACGGAGAAGGACCCGTCCTCGCGCACCGCCTCGGCACGCTGGAAATCCTCACCAGCGCGGCCCAGCGTTGTGGCCTGGCGAGACAGCCCCTGCAAACCTCCTTGGCCAGCATAGCTTACACAACACAAAGCAGGGCGTAAAAACGTGGCCCGCAAGCATAACATAATATCGAGCGCGGGGTAAGTAGAATGTCAAATGCGGTCTTTTCACGCCGTGCACGATGCGACGGGCACTGCAAAGCGAAATTTAATCATATTCTCGCGCGAGTTCCCTGCCCAAGTATGCCCGCGCGAGTTTGCTCGAGCAAGTGTGCTCCTGCGAGTTTGCTTGCGCAAGTGCTCTCTGGAAATGTTCTTGAAACTTGCTCTGCGCTCCGCGTACTCTGCGCAAGCTGCCCTGCGCATCTTAACTCTGTGCAAGTTGCTCTGCGCAAGCCCGCGTATTTCTGTATGTCCTCCTCGATAACTGGTAATGCTTCGGTTTGCGCGTTCCGCATCACCTCGAGACAGCTTCTCCAGACGCAGCCGCGAGCACACGAAAGTAGCAAAAAGTCCTCAGTTGTGGCACATCGACCGCCCTGCATTGACCAAGCGCATCCCGCATCGGTTTTTTTGCAGAGAGGGCTCCCACAGAGCCGCCCTAAAAATAACTTTTATCTCTCGCGCAGAGTTGCCGCTTCTTGCGCAAGTGCGCTCGCGCAAGCTGTCTTGCGCACGCGTTCTCGCGCAAGTGTGCTCGTGCAAGTTGTCTCGCGCACGTGTTCTCGCGCAAGTGTGCTTGCGCAAGTTGTCTCGCGCGCAAGTTGTCTCGCACATGTGTGCTGGTGCAAGTTTTTCCTTCGCGCACGCAGGCGCGCTCGCGAAAGTGTGTCTTGCAGGCGCACACGTGCGAGAAGGCTCGCACAAGTGTGCCCTCGCTCCGGAAAACTTCTGCCTGCAGGGAGCTGATCTCGGCTCCGCGGTACATCTCCCGTGCCGCAGACACCTCCCGCGCCGCCAGCAGAAAGATGAAAGCCTCAAGGCGAGCTTCTTCTCAAACACCGACAGCCGGCAGACAAACAACAGCACGCTTCTATGCGCCGGGAACCGCTACACCCGACACATCGCAAAACAAGTTAGTCAAAGTGTCAGCAACATCTCCGACTTAGCTCAAACCAACCGAGGCGCCCAAGCCAGCTTCTGCCGCGTCGCACCGGAGCAGCCAGCCATGACGAGTTCTGAGGGTTTCACAAACGACTTGCGTGAGATCTCGGGCAAAAGCTGCGGGCCCCAAGTCAAGGTTTTTACATATTAGGTTTACTTTTTTCAAAGTTTTGTCGAAAATTGCAAGTCAACGGGGTCCCAGAAAACTAGAAGGCCCTAATATTACAAGCCCTCCGGTTTTTGTTTACTAGGGGGGCTTGTTGCTAGGGAGAACGCGGGTTAGAGCACCAACGTCCTGGCGGGCAGCACAAAGCCTGGCAGGCCGCGCCGCCTCCTCGCCCTCGAACAACCCCGGCATCATAACACGCACAGGCTGCTTGCAGCCCGAAGCCCACGCAACCCACCCCAACATCCAGCAGAGCAAGTACGTCACAGAGGACGCGACAAATGTCTCGGCGCCCGCACCGAGACTCGACATTCATTGCGTTGGCTGGGGAAAATGGAGAGAAAAAGAATAGCCAAGCAGGACCTGCCCGGTCCGGCGGCCTGCCAGACTTGACCAAAGCAGCAGGTCAGCAGGCATGCGTACTTAACAAGAACATGGTATCAGCGCTTTTTCCCCCGGATGGCCGACGTCTTGGTCCTGACACTGCGCGCACCCGCGCATCAAGCAGTCCACGCCAGAGAAAACAACAGGTAGTAGTTGCGGGAACTGACCGCGCGGCCCCCCCAAAAAAACGGGATTTGTCAGAAGTTGGCCATGAAGCCGCCAAACTGCGCCACAGTCATGGACCTGACAAGCTCTCCGCTTCACCGCCCGCAATACTTCTTCCTCCTCCCTTCTCTCTCTCTCTCTCGGTCTCTCTCTCTTTCTTTCCTTGCATTGCTCTCTTAGTCTCTTTCTCTCTTTCTCTCTTTCTCTCGTTCTCTCTCTCTCTCTCTCTCTCTGTCTCTCTGTCTCTCTCTTTCTCTCCTTGCATTTCTCTCTTAGTCTCTTTTTCTCTTTCTCTCGTTCTCTCTCTGTCTCTCTGTCTCTCTCTTTCTCTCCTCGCATAACTCTCTTAGTCTCTTTCTCTCTTTCTCTCGTTCTCTCTCTCTCTCTCTGTCTCTCAGTCCCTCTCCTTCTCTCCTTGCATTGCTCTCTTAGTCTGTTTCTCTCTCTCTCTCTCCCTTCTCTCTCTCTCTCTCTCTCTCTTTCGTTCTTTCTTTCTTTCTTTCTTTCTTTCTTTCTTTCTTTCTTTCTTTCTTTCTTTCTTTCTTTCTTTCTTTCTTTCTTTCTTTCTTTCTTTCTCTCTTTCTCTCGCTCTCTCTCTCTCTCTCTGTCTCTCTGTTTCTCTCACTGTCTCTCTGTCTCTCTCTTTCTCTCCTTGCATTTCTCTCTTAGTCTCTTTCTCTCTTTCTCTCCTTGTCTCTGTCTCTCTGTCTCTCTGTCTCTCTGTTTCTCTCTTTCTCTCTTTCTTTCTTTCTTCTTGTCTCTCTTTCTCTCTTTCTCTCTTTCCCTCTTTCTCTCTTTATTCCTCCCTGTCTCGCTTTCTCTCGTTCTCCCTGTTCCTCTTTCCATATGTTCTTATTTTCGTTATTTATTTATTTGGTTCTTTATTTCTTTCTTTCTTGTTTTCGAAATTCTTTTTCTTTATTTCTTTATTTCTTTATTTCTGTATTTCTTTATTTCTTTTTCTTTCTTTCAATATTTTGCTCTTTCGTTTCGTTTCGTTTCGTTTCGTTCCGTTCCGTTCCGTTCCGTTCCTTCTGTCTTTCTTTCTTTTTGTTCTTTGCTTTCTTTCTTTCTTTTCTTTCTTTCTTTCTTTCTTTCTGTCTTTCTTTCTTTCTTTCTTTCTTTCTTTCTTTCTTTCTTTCTGTCTCTCTCTCTCTCTCTTTCCTTTCTTTCTTCCTTTATTTCTTTATTTCTTTCGTTCGCTCGTTCTTTCTTTCTCGGTCTTTTTCTCTGTCCCTTGCCCCGTGCTGAATGAGCTGAATGAGTGCAAGAAAGTATGTGCAAGTTAGCGAGAGTAAGTGTGTGGCAGCTGAGTGAGTGAGAGTGTGAAGGGGGGCTCTTCAGAACTCCGCCCTGGATGTTTGGGGGAGGGGTTACAGCTGTTCAAAAAAGGAAGCGGGGTGCTCGAACAACAACTGCTGGGGATAACTGCGGTCAAGGGCGGGTAGCCGTTGTTCGGCTTTGTGCTCCTTGCTTTCTTACGCTTTCCTCTTTTAATGTCTTCATTTGCTTTTCTAATCCTAATGGGGGGCCCCCCCCCGGCAACCCCCTCGCTTCTTTAAAAGGCCGTTGTTCGGGCTTTGTGATCGGGGCTTGTAACCACGAACTTTCTCCAGTAGTGTCTCCCTTTTTCCATTGGCTCCCCAAGGCGTAAAACAATTGCATAGGAGACACACAACCACAGCATATCGGCCGCATGTGAAAGTCAAACAGAAATGCGCGCAACGTGCGCAACAACAGTTGCACGGGGAAAATCGCACACTCAGATGCCACCAAAGTGTGTGGAACTGCATGCAGGATCATGCCTGCAAAATGCTGACAAAATGAACAGCACTCCCCGCTGCCAACCCCAAAAATAACAAAAAAAAACAGACAAACAACCCCGCCCGCTTCAGCCTGCAGATATGACCCTGACCCAACCCCCAAACCTAAAACAACCCCCGGGTGTTGGGCGGGTATAAGCCCCAAACACCCAAGTAACCAACCAAACCAACTCAACCCAGCGTAAACCCACCATGACAACCCTCCCTAAATGGAACCCACACCGAACCAAAACATACCACACAAGCCACCAACCCAATTCACCCCGAACCTATCCTTAAACCCGCCCCAAAAACCAAACCCTACGAAGGGTGGCGAGCACAGAGCCAAGGGTCTGCGGAGCCGCGATGGCGCGCTGCGCCGGGGAAAGCGTTACCAAAACAAAGATGTCGAAACAACATTTTCGTGGACACAACAAACATTCTGACGAAACTAGAGTTTGCGCGCAGAGAAACAAACTCACAGCCCGAGATCGCGAAATGTTTATATTCAGCGCTGGAACAGTAGTTTGTTTGGAAAGCTAGCTTCGGCATGCGAAACTAAACTTCTACCTCTGAGTTTCCTTTCAGAATTTCCCAGGAAACAAACAAACTAAACTCACGGAGCCTGTGTTTCTCGGAGCCTTTGTTTCTTGGGACAACAGATATGTCTTCTGAGGTCATGCTTCTACACTTTTCTCGCAAGCGCGGATATGTTAGTCTCCAATGCAGAAACAATCGCTTCCGGTGTGAAAGATTTCTTTCTGTCTCGAAAACCAATTATTCCTGTGAAAGTTTGTTTTGCCTGGAGAAAATTGTCTGAAACCCTAAAATGGCTAGTTTGGAAAGCAAGTGTTTCGTCGGAGAGTTTAGTTTGTTCGTTTCCTGGGAAATTCTGAAAGGAAACTCAGAGGTAGAAGTTTAGTTTCGCATGCCGAAACTAGCTTTCCAGACAAACTACAGTTCCAGCGCTGAATATAAACATTTCGCGATCTCGGGCTGTGATTTTGTTTCTCTGCGCGCAGGCGCTGAAGATGTCTGAGTGAGGCCGTGTACTGGTTTCCGCGGTAGCCAGGAAGTACAGTAGCGAGCCAGACTGCTGGTTTCCAACAGAAAATTGTTCTGACAACACAGAGCTTTTCGCTCGGAGATGCGCTTGTTTTTTTGGTCAAGCCCTGTCCTGCTGGCAGCCGCTGTTCTGAGTAGTTGCCACCAGGCCTGCGCGGAAAAGGACACTATCTGTCACGTTTTTGTTTGGAGCTGTGCTTGAGCAACGCAGTGGTGCCCGCGGGTCAATGTGAGGCGTTAGGCCAAGCCAATAGTTCTTTCAAAACTAACGAACTAGTGACTTGCTCCCCATTGCTAGGTATGTGGAGTTACCCTGTCTTTCTTTTAGCTAAGCTGCTTACTCCAACCTACCTAACTGTCTTTCTTTCTCCTTCCCTTTTCTCCTTATTTTGTTCTTTCTGTCTTGCTCTCTTTCGGGCGCGTTGAGAATCTTGCCACTGAAACCACCAACGGGCCCCAGATAGACGGAACCTGGTTTCGCAGCGGCTGACAAGTTCCCCAAAAACCCGCCAGACGTTCAACAAAGAAACAACCGCTACCTTCCATTTGCGTCAAATGGTCAAACTCAACATTGTGTTGGTTTCCATTTGAAACCAGCCCCAAAAAAATGTTCACTTGGAACCCGCCGGCATGCGCACGATATTTCCCATGCCATGGGAACAACAACACATTGTACGCAGAGCCGAAGCCCATCCGAGCACCAAAAAAGAGAAAGCCCAACATCCTTCATTGCCTGCTAGCCCGAAGCCCATCCTCAACTTCTCCAACCCTGGGCTGGTTTCTGTGCCCTCTCGAATCAGCGCGGGTCGCATGTTTTTCTCGAAACCGATCCTTTCCTTTCAGCCAACTGCGTGGCACGCGCTCACGAGCTGAGCGCTGCTAGCTGGAGGGCAGAAAGTTGGTGAGGCCTCAGCTCTGCGCTGGGCCTTTCTCCGCAGCCCCAACCAGCCGACCGAAAGAATCCCAAGCGCCAAGGCACTTCACGTCCTTCGCGCCCTTCTCCAGGGATGAGGCAGCGAACACCACACCAAATACGATCGCGCCCACCAAGGCGGCAACGCCCACAGGCCAGGCCATGGCAAAGGCGCCCATGAAGACCAGCCCGCCCAGCAGGCCACAAAGGAAGAAGCACGTGAAGCTCTCGAAGCTTGGGTATCTGCCCGGAAAGCTGAGGATTGCCCCCCCAACCAACAGGCCGCCAACGACCAGGCACACGAGGCACACGACGATGCAGGCCAGGATGAAAAAAACTTCCTGCGCAAGCAAGTCAAACCGGGAGCGCAAGTTCGGCTGTTAGCCATGCGGATGAGCGGCGGCAGTCTCTGCAGTGTCCCCGCCCTCCGCCCGGAAGCTCTCACCTTAGCAAGCCAGCAAGAGTCGACCTTCGTCCGTGAACTGCTGCCGAATGCCGCCAGGTCGCCTTCTGCGGCATCAGACACCACCTCGACCAATGACGAATTCCCCGCCACTGCGCCAGGCTCCTTCTCCAACTCCGCCTCCCCGTCCTCAGCTCAAGCCACGGCTCTTCGCAGGGAAAGGGCCGAAGGGCTATTTGTGGCACACTGGCGCTTCATCTGCGAGATCCTCCCACGCGCAATTGGGGCCAAGGCTCCGCCACCCTGGCCACGGTTCGCTTTACCTCCGCGCGCCACATGTCTTGCATAAACTCCTGACAGTGCTCCGGGAGTCCCAAATCCGTGTCATGCACATCCTCCGTGCTGTACCCGGGCACGAGCATGAAGTGATTCAGGAAGGTGCCCAACTGCTCCTGCCACTGTCGCGAGTGCGGAAAGCACGGACCCAAAATGCAACCAATTTAGAGGAGTCCCCTTCTGACAAATCCATTTTTTGAGATTCCTCGTGAAACGCAGGGGGGACGTTGGACGGTGGAAGACGGATTTGGCCGGGTTCATTCAGCCAGAGAGAGGTTCACTTACGTCGTGTTGTTCTGGGAGGATGGCTGATGTTTGGCTGAATCGGGGTGGGGCTTAGCGTGGCTTCTCGCAGGCGGGTTGGTCGAGGGTGCTTTTTTCCGTGGTTGGGGCCAGTTTTTGCAGAATAAATTTTTA